GCGCGCCCTGCGCCGAGGGCTCGAGGCCCTGGCAGCGCATCACCAGCAGCTCTTCTCCAATGGGCGAGCCTGGGGCAGCTTCACGGTGCTGGACAACTCGGCCTGGTACCAGGAGCAGCACCTGGTGGACTTCCTGGCGGCGGTGGGCGGCCACTTCCGCATGGGCACGCTGCTGAGCCGGCTGAGCGTCCAGACCCGGCTCAAGAGCCCGGAGGGCATGAGCTTGGCCGAGTTCTTGTACCAGGTGCTCCAGGCCTACGATTTCTACTACTTGTTTCAGCGTTACGGATGCCGGGTGCAGCTGGGCGGATCTGATCAGCTGGGCAATATCACGTCGGGATACGAGTTCATCAACAAGTAAGCGTCTCTCGGCCCTGGAGAAATCCTGGGACCAGATCATTGACACGCGAAATAGCCGGCGATGCACTGTTAGGATTGTGAAGTGACGCCCGCCGTCCACGCCCTTGTTGGTTTTCCCCCCAGTAAGGGTCTGCAATGGTGTTAACATTATCATCGGCCAATGAGAACTAGAGGGCTGAGTTAGTGTTAGGTATGGGAGGTAGCCTAGAGCTCTTCGGGAAATAGACCACTAGTCAGGATTGTATGTTTTCATTCCCCTAAGTAGCTCTTTGTGTTTCTGATTTGAGAAACTGCTTTTCTTCGTTTATACCTAAGCAAGTATATAGGCTTCCTTGAGTAGCCTCTGCTTTAGCTCGGCACCTTCCGTGAAGCGAGGGATGAGCCACAGGGCTAGCCCATGTGCTACTCATTTTTTTAAAAGTCCCTTTAAGTTAACTCCTTTAGTGTCTCCACCTGACTCCCCCGTTAGCAGCACCTCCCCTTGGCTTCTCCCTCTTAAGGAGCACATCCCCTTGGCTTCTCCCTCTTAAGCAGCACCTCCCCTTGGCCTGCCCAGAGTCACTGGTTCAATTGCTATTCAGAACGACAAATGCCAGAATAGAGTGAATGCTGTGAAAGCTGTAAGAGGTCACAGAAGTTTTCTTAGAGCAGTGGTTCTCAACCTTGGCTGCACATTAGAATCACCGGGGAATCTTGTTAAAATCCTGATTCCTGGGCCTCATCCTCCGGACATTCTGTTTCTTTGTTACTAATGTTGTGGCCCCACCCCATAACAAAGAAACAGAATTTCCGGAGGATGAGGCCCAGAAATCAGGATTTAAAAAAGATTCCCAGGTGATTCTAATGTGCAGCCAAGGTTGAGAACCGTTGTCTTAGAGCAAGAGACCGCCCGGAAATTTGAAGCGTGATTAGCAGAATCTGCCATCACCTGTGCCTGAAACACATCATGAAGTTTTCCTTTATGCATAGGTTGACTGGAGAAGACGTATTTGGAATCACTCTTCCTCTGATTACAAGTACAACTGGAGCAAAACTGGGAAAGTCTGCTGGCAATGCTGTGTGGCTGAGCAGGGATAAGACATCTCCATTTGAACTGTATCAATTCTTTGTCAGGCAGCCAGATGATTCGGTAGAAAGGTGAGTTCTGAATAGTGTGCTGAGAAAAATTAAGCTCATGATACGATTTTAGCATTGAATCTCTATGTATGCTTGGTTGTTGTTGTTTTTTAAGTTAGATTCTATTAAAGGCATAAACAATTGCAACACAGAACATTGTAACTTTAACTGTCCTGAAGTTAAACACTTTTGTTGGTTAAGGCAGAAAACCACTGTGGTTGCTAGAAAACTTAGATCCAAGATCCTGATCTGCATCTGGCAAGTACAGTAAAACCTTGATATATAAAGACAAATTCTGGTGAAGGGGTGTCCATTAAAGCTGCAAGTCCAGTATATAATAAAGTAGGTTTTCCGAATGTGTATGTTAGAAATTGACAAATTAGTTTACTTGTTTTTACTTTTGTAGACACGTTTGTGTAATTAAAATTATGTATGAAAAGTTTAATTTTACAGAAAAGTTTTCCATATATATTGTAATTTTAAATTTATACTGAATAGGTCTAGTAAATGTGTGCATTCACCAGTTACTGTGACTAAACAAATGCCCTCAGCTGGGGCGTGGCCTAGCGCACATGGGAACAGCAGCTGGCACTGGTTAAAACTGCTGCAGAAAGTCATGCCATTCGACAACAGAACCAATTACCAAGCTTGATTCGGTGTGATCATTCCCTGAACATTGTTTACAAGCAGTGACTCTTGCATTTAAATATACAGACTATTGTTGTAGATACGTAATATTTATGTAGGCAAAATTACTAGTGTTTTTTCCAATGTATGTATTCACTAGAATTTATTAAAAATAACTGAATTGCCCTAACCCAGTGGTCGGCAAACTGTGGCTCGGCAAGCTGCGGCTCGCGAGCTACATGCAGCTCTTTGGCCCCTTGAGTGTGGCTCTTCCACAAAATACCTGCTCTTCCACAAAATACTGACTTCTGCGCATGAGCCACGAAGTTTCATTCGCACTGTATGTGCGTGCCCGCACGTGGTATTTTGTGGAAGAGCCACACTTAAGGGGCCAAAGAGCCTCATGTGGCTCGCAAGCAGCGGTTTGCCGACCACGGCCCTAACTGGTTTGGCTCAGTGGATGGAAGAGCCACACTCAAGGGGCCAAAGAGCTGCATGTGGCTCACAAGCCGCGGTTTGCCAACCACGGCCCTAACCGGTTTGGCTCAGTGGATAGAGCGTCAGCCTTCGGACTCAAGGGTCCCAGGTTCAATTCGGTCAAGGGCACGTACCTTGGTTGCAGGCACATCCCCAGTAGGGAGTGTGCAGGAGGCAGCTGATTGATGTTTCTCTCTCATTGATGTTTCTAACTCTCTATCCCTCTCCCTTCATCTCTGTAAAAAAATCAATAAAATATATTTAAAAATAACTGAATTAATAACAAAAAAATAACCCGTTAATGTAATTATAAACAAATCTTGGTTAAAAGCATTTTAAAATTTACAGGGTGTTAATTTTCACATATGACACGTGGACCAGATTTTGTCTAATAAATCCAAAGTCTGTTAAATCCAGGTCTGCAAAATCGAGGGTTTATTGTATTTGAGCTCTGACTTCCCGTCCCCAATCTTCTCTTTTATTTCCCTATGTGTCAAATTAATGGTGTGTCTATTCATGAAGTTGTCCATTTATCTAAAACATTTTTTGAAAGTGGGTAATTGTTGTGTGACATGTCTTGCCCAAGGAATGTAATATCATAATAATAAAAGACCAAGAGGTGTCACGACCAAAACGACCAAAGGACCGGTCGCCTTGAGGTGGCATTGACCACCTCTTGGTCCCTCCCTCCCCGGCCCGCAAGTGGCAGCGGGGGGCAGGGCACGACTGGCGAGCAGGCTGAACTGCTGACCTCTTGGTCCCTCTCCCCGGCCCACAGGCTCAGATGGATCAGCGATGGTGAACCGGAGAACCCGGGTGGGTGGTGGGAGGACTGGGCTGGCTGTCAGGCCGTTGGGATCATCAGCTCATCCCCAGCTGCTCGGGGGCTCAGGCCTGCGGGAAAGCAGGTGCCAGCAACTTCACCTCCATGCACGTGCACCGGGCCGGCCACTGATGGAAGGCACTGCCCGCTCAGGGCCACTCACGCCAGGACAGGTAGGTCGCAGGCACACCCCACAGCCTCCGTCAGCACCTCAAGCCCCAGCAGCAGTGTCGGAGGCAGCGGCCCTCGCGTGAGCAGCCCCAAGCAGGCAGCAGGTTCCATCAGTGGCCAGCCCAGCGCACGCACATGGAGGTGAAGTCTCCGGCACCCATTTCCTGCAGGCCTGAGCCCCGGAGCAGCCGGGGATGAGCTGGTGGTCCCAATGGCCTCACAGCCTGGCGGCAGAGGCGGCATTCAGCCTGGAGACTGGTGAATGGGCAGAAAATGGCCCAGGTCGCAGGAGGCTAGGCCTAGGGACCCTACCCACACGATGTAATGGTGCGCTGGGCCTCTATTAAGGAAATAAACAGGTGAGGGCAAGCAGTCTAAATTGGTGGTATTTCTAGCAGGGGAACAGTCTGGCTCCGAATGCACATTTCAGCTTGCCACAGCGGGGAGATTTGATGCAATGGTGCAGTAGGCAGATGATGTCCTCACAGTTTGCAGGCACCTTGGTATAGGGTAGGGTCAGCTGGTAAACACCAGGCAAATTCGGAAAATATTCCAATGAGTCCCCTGATTGGAATCAGGACAATACGTTTAGTCCATTGTTCCTGCAAAGTCTTAGTCTCCATTTAAGCATTTTGCCAAGTTTGAGGTGGACTAGGGAGTGGGGCCATTTGGGCAAGTGGTGAGGCCTCTGACATGGTGATATGTCCCTGGGGTGTCATCTCTAGTGTAGGGGGCATAATCATCTCCAATGGCAAACTCTTGAGCTGGGGTGATATCACCTGAAGCATTGTCCTCTCTAGTGATAAGTCCATCTCACTAGGGGTGCGGTCCTCTGGAGTGGTTGCCACTAGTGGGTTGGTGACCCTCCCATGTGGGTGTCCAGTTGGGGTCTTGGTCATGGGCTAGGGGTCATTTATTGATGAGGGGCTCATATTGGACTACCCATCCTCAATCAAGTCATCAACGTGAAGCAGATGGCAAGATGATGGAAAAGCATAGCAGAAAGGGGAAGATGAGCCTGAGGAAAAATAAATGGATGCTGTCATGGAGGTAAAAGCTTGACTCCCAGAGGACACCAAAGGTGGGATTTGGAGGAGTGTATGATAGTTGGTATATGGGGTATGTAGTTCCCCAGGGTGTGAGAATTAAGCAAGATGAGGGTTTGGGCAAGAGTTCAGTCCATTTTGGGAACCACTTGCCTGAAAGTAATTTAAGGAGTGTCTGAAAAGGCTGTTGTGATGCTCAGTGAGTGAGAGTTCCCAAGGGGAGTCTGGTATAAGTATTTAATGATTGTGGAGGCATATCTGGAAGCCCCAGCAGAAGGAGGGCAGTGGGCAGTGAAATCAATCAGCTAGTGGGAGCATGGTCAATCTCCCCAAGGGAATATGTCCTCATGTAGATAGCTTCCATTGTTTGGTTTGGGAGCAGAAAATGCAATTGTCTATCATACCTTTGGCTGCCACAAAAGAGAAAGGAAGTCCCCTCATTTGAGCCCAAGTTGTTAGAACATGAATTCCCTAGTGACCTGAGATTATAGAGTCCATTTCTCAAGCTGGTTGGGAAGGGTTGCTACCCTGAGAAGTCTGTACCATGCAGAGTGTGGAGGGCTCAGTGAGGGAGTCTACGATATTGTTGAAAATGTCTTCTGGCATAGAGCGGTTAGTATGAGCAGAAACGAGTTACAATGATAGGAATTGGGGACTCCTTCCCTAGCTGGGCACCCCAAATGGGCTTGTCTATATATGAGAAAAGTGTCCCTTAGCCATTGGCCAGACCAAACTATAAGGCGATAATAAGTTCACAGTTGTGAGTACACGAAACAGAGTTTATTGTTGTGTTATTATTTCCACACGAACAACTATAAACCTTTGCCCACCCCTGTACAATTGGCAGTATGTTTATTCAAGATGGATGTCTTTGAATAGACTATATCCCATGTACATTTTTGCCTCCTTTGTAGATTGTTAATTGACCATAAAGGAATGGGTTTGTTTCTGAGCTCTCTATTCTGGTCCATTGATGTATATGTCTGTTTTTATGCCAGTACCATGCTGTTTTTTATTACTATGGCCTTGTAGTATAGTTTGATATCAGACAGCATGGTTCCTCCAATTTTGTTCTTCTTTCTCAAGATTGTTGAGGATATTTGAGGTCTTTTGTGATTCTATATGGATTTTTGGAATATTTGTTCTAGTTCTGTGAAATATGACATTGGTATCTTGATAGGAATTATGTTGAATCGATAGATTGCTTTGGATAGTATGGACATTTTAATGATTTTAAGTCTTCCTATCCATGAACTACAGTATATGCTTCCACTTATTTATATCTTTTTCTGTTCCTTTCTTCAATGTTTTATCATTTTCCAAGCACAAGTCGTTTACATCCTTGGTTAAATTTATTCCAAGGTATTTTTTTTAATGCAATTGTAAATGGGATTGTTTTCTTATAGTTCATTATTGGTGTATAAAATACAACTGATTTCTGGGTATTTATTTTGGTGAATTCGTTTATCAGTTTTAGTAGGGTTTTTGTGTAGGTTTTTTGTTTGTTTTTTGGTGAAATCTTTAGGGTTCTCTGTATACAGTATCATGTCATCTACAAATAATGACAATTTTACTTTTTCCTTTTCAATTTGGATGCCTTTTATTTCTTCTTGTCTGGTTGCTGTGGCCAGGACTTCCAGCACAGTGCTGCATAAGAGTGGTGAAAGTGGACATCCCTGTCTTGTTCTGTTCTTAAGGAAAACACTATTAGTTTGTTTGTTTGTTTTAAATATATTTTATTGATTTTTCACAGAGAGGAAGGGAGAGGGATAGAGAGTTAGAAACATCGATGAGAGAGAAACATCGACCAGCTGCCTCCTGCACACTCCCTACTGGGGATGTGACCGTAACCAAGGTACATGCCCTTGACCGGAATCGAACCTGGGACCCTTGAGTCCACAGGCTGATGCTCTATCCACTGAGCCAAACCGGTCAGGGCGGAAAACACTATTAGTTTTTGCCACTGAATATGATGTTGTTTGTGGGTTTGTTATCTATGGCCTTTATTACATTGAAGTATGTTCCCTCTTTGCTGAGAATTTTTATCAAAAATGAGTGCTGGATTTTTATCAGTGGGTGCATCTATTGATATGATCGTGTGATTTTTGTTCTTTATTTTGTTATGTTGTGTATCATGTTTATTGAGTTGCAGATATTGTACCAGCCTTGCATGCTCAGAATAAAGCCCACTTGATCATGGCATATAATCTCTTTAATGAATTGCTACCTCTGGTTTGTTAATATTTTGTTGAGGATTTTAGCTCTATGATCATCAGGAATATTGGCTTATAATTTTCTTTCTTTGTAGTGTCTTTATCTGCCTTTGGAATTAGGATAATTTTGGCTTCGTAAAAGGAGCTTGGGAGTCCTCCCGCCTCTTGAGTCTTTTGGGATAGTTTGAGAAGGATAGGTGTTAGTTCTCCTTTGAGTAAATGTTTGGTAAAATTCACTTGTGAAGTCATCCAATCCAAGACTTTTGTTTGTTGGGAGTTTTTTTATTACTGCCTCAACCTCATTAGTTGTAATCTCTCTATTCAGATTTTCTGATTCTTCCTGCTTTAGTTTTAGAAGATAGTATGTTGCTAGGAATATCCATTTAGTCCAGATTGTTTAATTTGCAGGCATATATTGTTGTTCGTAATATTTTTTTACAATCCTTTGTATTTCTGCAGAGTCACTTATTACTTCTTGTCTTTCATTTCTGATTTTATTTATTTGAGTCCTCTGTTTCTTAATGAGTTTGGTTAAAGCTTTATCAATCTTTTTATCTTTTCAAAGAACCAGTTCTTGGTTTCATTAATCTTTTGTATTTTTTTTTAGACTCTAATTTATTTATTTCTGCTCTGATCTTTTATTTCCTTTCTTCTACTCACTTTGGACTTTGTTACTGTTTTCTAATTTCTTTAAGTTTAAAATTAGATTGTTTGAGATTTTTCTTATTTCCTGTAATGCTATTAATTTCCCCCTTAGGACTGCTCTCACTGTATCCCATAGATTTGGGCCATTGTATTCTCATTTTTATTTGTTTTGATGTATCTTTTGATTTCTTCCTTGACCTCATTGTTAACCCATTCATTGTTTAGTACCATGTTAGTTAGTTTCCATGTCTTTGTATGTTTTTCAGTGTTTTTCTTGTGATTGATTTCTAGTTTCATGTTATGGTCAAAGAAGATGTTTAATATGAATTGAGACTTGTTTTATATCCTAACATGTGATCGATCCTAGAAAATGTTCTGTGTCCACTTGAAAAGAATTTACATTCTGCTGCTTTGGGCTGAAATGCTCTGAACACATCAGTTTAATCCATCTCAGACCTTTCTCTTAGCAAGATGACAAATTTAGAAGGAATATGTCAGAATCAAAATTTAAGGATGAATAGAAGGAATTGGTTAATTCCTCATTTCTTGTTCCAATGATTCATAATATGGATACCAGTGCTGCAAAAATTTCTCCATGAAGTTTAGTTGACCACAAATTCAATAGTCACATAGCTACCAAAAAACAGTATCATGGACAGCATTTTTCATTAATACAACATTAAAAATTGATCAATTACTAAGCTGTTCTTTATATTTCTTTTCACAATAATCATATATGATACCTACGTTGCCAATATGTGTTCTCCCACGTGTAGATAAACTTTTATTCAGGTACACTTTATACTAGATCTCTGGCAGAAACGTGAAAAATCAAAGTCCCATTGTCTTGCTTTTACCCAAAAGAAACCTAAGGCCTACAGAGAACTGCCATACGACCCAGTGATCCCACTTCTGGGACTATGTCTGAAGAAATACAAAACACTGATTCAGAAGTTATTCAGGTACACTTTATACTAGATCTCTGGCAGAAATGTAAAAAATCAAAGTCCCATTGTCTTGCTCTTACCCAAAAGAAACCTAAGGCCTACAGAGAATTGCCATACGACCCAGTGATCCCACTTCTGGGACTGTCTGAAGAAATACAAAACACCGATTCAGAAGACTGCAGTGTTATTTACAATAGCCAAGATTTGGAAGCAGTGCAAGTGCCCATCAGTAGAAGAGTAGACAAAAAAGCTGTGGTACATTTGCACAGTGGAATACTACTCAGCTGTAAAAAAGAAGGAAGAAGGAAGAAGAAAATCTTACCTTTTGCGACAGCATGGATGGACCTGCAGAAGTATTGTGCTAAGTAAAATGAGCCAGTCAGAGAGAGACAAATACCATGTGATTTCACTTAGATGTGGAATCTAATGAACAAAATAAAATAGAAACAGACTCATAGATACATAGAATAAACTGAAAGCTGTTAGAGGGGAGGGTTATGAAGACTGGGAGAAAAAGGTGAAAGGAATTAAGAAAAAACCAACACCTCATTGACACAGACAACAGTATGGTGATTACCAAGGGGGAAGGGATATGGGGGGGCGGGGTGAAGAAGGTAAAAGGAGGGTAAATAGTGATGGAAGGAGACTTGACTGGATGGTGAACACAAAATATAATATACACATACGTGAAAAACAAAAGTGTAAAATAAAAACATGTTTGGGAAGAATGCACACAAATTTAGATTGGTGATTATCTCTGGGGGCAAGAGGAGAATATGATGGGGCTGGGGCCTTCATCTATACCTTTGTTATTTTGTGACTTTTAAAGAAAGAAAGATCATGCTCTGGCCAGTGTGTCTCGGTTAATTGAGCATCATCCCATGCACCCAGAGGTCAAGCATGGGATTCCCAGTCAGGGCACATGCCTGGATTGCAGGCTTGTTCCCCATTAGGAGGTGTGCAGGAGGCTGCTGATTGATGTTTCTTTCTCTCTCCCTCTCCCTTCTTTTTCTAAAATCAGGTTTTTTTTAAAAAAACATTTGTTAAAAAATAAATAAATAAAGATGTGAAACAAAGATGGCAAAATAGTAACACCTTCAGTCTGGGTGGCATGTGTATGATTGTCTTATGTCCAGTACATTTCTGCATAATTGTTATGTTTCACAATTAAGAATAATTTTAAAAGTAAAGGGAGCCAGAGATAAAAACTCGGTATGTGATCTAAATGTAACACTTTATTTTTTGTCCCGAAGGTACCTGAGGCTCTTCACTTTTCTGCCCCTTCCGGAGATTGACCACGTAATGCAGCTGCACGTCAAAGAGCCAGAAAAGCGGGGTCCTCAGAAACGGCTTGCTGCAGAAGTCACGAAGCTGGTTCATGGGCAAGAAGGGCTGGATTCTGCTAAAAGGTGACCTTTCCCAATAATGAACACTGATGAAGTTCTTTAGTTAATAGTAGACTTGGGAAAATTTAGAGCCGCGCTGCTTTCAAGTTGTCCTTCACTGCTAAGAAGGATTATCAGTGTGGGCTATAGTTGCTTTCAGATAGCCTCTCTTTATCATAAAAAAGACAATCCTGAATTAAGTTGATAAACTATACCAGGTAAATGTTGCTGTTTCAGAAACTTTCAGTCTAGAACATAGTGGGGACTTCATAATTGGTTACTGTGTATTAGGATGTGTATCTGAATAAGCAGTCGCATGATGTTGTCCTCAAACTGTTTTTCAGGTGTACACAAGCCCTTTATCACAGTAGCGTAGATGCACTGGAGGTCATGTCTGATCAAGAGTTAAAAGAGTTGTTTAAAGAAGCTTCATTTTCTGAATTAGTTCTTGACCCTGGAACAAGCGTCCTAGATACGTGCCGCAAAGCTAATGCCATTCCAGATGGTCCCCGGGGGTAAGATTACTTAACTTTCAGATTCATAGTTAATTCACTATTAAATGTTATAATTCACAGCATATGTTTCCACAGCGTGTTTTCCTGATAATTCATTAATGGTGTCTCATTTCTTCTAGGAGTTATGTTGGTCTGAGAATAGTGGTTCTCAACCTTCCTAATGCCGCGACCCTTTAATACAGTTCCTCATGTTGTGGTGACCCCCAACCATAAAATTATTTTCGTTGCTACTTCATAACTGTAATTTTGCTACTGTTATGAATCGTAATGTAAATATCTGATATGCAGGATGAATTTTCATTGTTACAAATTGAACATAATTAAAGCATAGTAATTAATCACAAAAACAATATGTAATTATATATGTGTTTTCCGATGGTCTTAGGCGACCCCTGTGAAAGGGTTGTTCGACCCCCAAAGGGGTCGCGACCCACAGGTTGAGAACTGCTGGTCTGAGAATAAAGTGAAAACTGAGATTAATGGTGATAATAGCTTAATTTTCAGCTTATTGCTGAAAATAGCTTAAATTTCCTATGAAGTCAAGTACTACTATACTGCTTCTTATTAAATGGAACCCAGTCAATTTGTTCTCCAGCATTGGAAAAGGCTTGCATTTAAGTAATCAGTATCTATAATAATAAAAGCATAATATGCTAATTAGACCAGACATACTTCCGGACAACCTTTCGGACGAAGCCGGGGCTGCAAGGGAAGCCTGTGTCATAATATGCTAATTAGACCAGACATACTTCTGGACAACCTTTCGGATGAAGCCGGGGCTGCAAGGGAAGCCAGTGTTAGCAGCCAGGGGAAGGAAGGCCTACTCTTGCACAAATTTCGTGCATTGGGCCTCTAGTATTAAATAAGTACAGTCAGATCTGTCAGCTCAGGATGGTCACAGTTTGAGAAGGTCACAAGAACAGAGGCCCTAAGTGGACAGAGCCACATGAACCCTCTCATTTCAGTCTGTATCCTCTTTATTTGGGGGAGTAGAATGGTTATCCAACCTTATTAAAATATTAGTTGAATTTCAGAAAACAAGTAAGCATGTGATATAACTTCCTAAGACTATTATAAACTACATACAGTTATTCCTCTTTTGAATTTTATTTTCTTATTCAGGAAGCAGGTAGAATATTTAAATTCCTCAGTTATGTGGTATTATTAGGGAGTAAGGTGTTCCATAAGGTGTCATAGGGCTTATATTTGATGCTTACCCATTTATAAATGAAACTGTGATGTAGAAGAAGCATTAGTTGGCCAAAAGACCCTGGGTCCCTCACCTACAGGAGTTCTAGCATAAGTCAAACAGTTATCAGTCCATGTTCATGGTTATGAAGGACATTTGTTATATTATAGTTGGTGGGTGTGTTTTTCCCCCCAATTATTCTGTATTATTTGCCTCTATCTCAAAGAGTTTAGATTTCTCTATAAGGAGAAAATATCCATTGTCTCTCTTTGTATCACCTGCCACTCCACCTTATTGATTTCCTGATATGCTAGTTTAGTTAATATTCACTGAACTGAGGGTGGTATCATGCACTTCCCCACAGTGAGTCAGTGGTTCTAAGCCTTTTCCTCCCTGTGGAAGCATTTTTCATTTCCTTCTGAACTGTTCTAGTGGTTTATTTACTAATAACAAAAGTTTTACTGCTACTTAAGATGACGCCATATCTGATTTAGCCAGAGTTCTAAATAATACATTTTTTTAGATTGTATAAGCTTGTGCTTTTAAACAAAATGTAGACCATGATCTGGAAACAATAGCAAACAGCTTAAAATAACGCTTTGTAAGAGAAAATTTGTTCCTAAATATTAAATCATTTACTGTTGAGCTAAAACCATGCATAGTAGTTTCTTAACTTCGGTAACATATTCAGATAAAACCGAGATTTGCCTTGCAAGGACTTCCAAGGCCTTTCATGCGCTAGCCCTCTACTGAAATCTCACCTCCTTCTGGCTACTCCCATGTTTCCTCACTGTTCAGGAAAATAACTGCAACTTCCTCCCAGTTTCAGTGACTCTTCTTTCAGGAAAACTTCCAATCCCCACCCCTCGGTGCACTCCTAGTGCTCGTAGCTCATGACAGCATTTGATCAGTGTGCCAGAATTGTTCATTTGTTTGCCTCTCTCCACTAGTTTGCTATATTCTATTTACATTTAGTGCATAGTAGAGCTCTGTAAATGTTTATTGAATGAATTGCATAAATAACTTGAATAAAACCTAATTACTTTACATAGGCCAGCAAAAACTTTTTAGTAATCTATAATTTATTAGTGTATTGATTTTGTATTTCTGAAATTAGCCAACTTTTTAAAAGAGTTTTGCTTTGTGTTTTAACAAAATTTGCCCTTATTTGCATATACTCAGAATATAATTTGAAAGGGTTTTCCAATTTCATAAGCAAGTTTCTTAAAAATCTCTGTAGCTAATACTGTAACAGCAGGTCCTCAAATAAAGTCATTTCATTATGTTAATGAGAAAAAACAGGAGTTTCTGGCCAGGCCCACTGTGTGGAGTCTGTATGATCTCCCCATCTTTGTGCGGGTTTCCAGGGACCCCGGTTTCCTCCCACATCCCAGTAACAGCAGGTCCTCAAATAAAGTCATTTCATTATGTTGATGAGAAAAAACAGGACAGTTTCTGGCCAGGCCCACTGTGTGGAGTTTGTATGATCTCCCCATGTCTTTGGGGGGGTTACCAGGGACCCCACCCCGGTTTCCTCCCACATCCCAAAGATGTGCACGAGTCGTGTCTACATTGTCCCAGTCTGAATGTGTGTGTGTGTGTGTATGTATGTGTATGCACATGCATGTGCACACACATGCCCTGCAATGGAAGGGCGTCCTGTCCACGGTTGGTGCCTGCTTTTGCACTCTGAGCTGCTGGGCTGGGGAAAGCTCCAGCCACGGGCAACCCTGAATTGGCATTAGGGGGTTGGTCTTGTTTTTTTTGTTTGTTTTTTAAAGAAGGGATTGAGATTTTATTTATTTTTAAATATATTTTATTGATTTTTTTACAGAGAGGAAGGGAGAGGGATAGAGAGTCAGAAACATCGATGAGTGAGAAACATCGATCAGCTGCCTCCTGCACACACCCCACCGGGGATGTGCCCGCAACCAAGGTACATGCCCTTGACCAGAATCGAACCTGGGACCCTTCAGTCCTCAGGCCGACGCTCTATCCACTGAGCAAAACCGGTCAGGGCTGGTCTCGTCTTTATTGATCTTAAATGTATATATAACTCAGTTATTTCAGTGTTTAATATTATAAGTGTTCTGAGTCTGTAGTTAGAAGTTTTGTGATATTTTTGTGACCAGAAATATGCCATAGGAACTTAACTCTATTATCATTCAGCCTATGATAAAATTGGTTTTGTTAAATGTTGTTTCGCTTAAAGTCAGTTTCCAAGAACCTATGAACAATATTAAGCGAGGACTTCCTGTATTCACTTGTATCTCATTAAAAGCAGCGATGCCCTGGAAGTTTCTTTTCTGTGATTTTTCTCCCCAAGGTAGGGGGCGCCCTCCAGAAAGTGATCCATTATTCCAATTCACTTTGTTAAACCCACTAAACAGTTCTATCAAGAGATGAGATATCCCAGCTCTTTTTCGCTAGGAAACAAGAAGCCTATTATGCCTTAAACCTCCTTTAGAAGAACATTAAAAGGAGACATAATCCAGTGAAAGTGAAGATAAATTCAGTGATTTAGTGCTAAAAGGTTTCAACTGGAGAGCCCCTGAAATTTAAATGAAAAACAATAATGATGTATCTGTATTATGGGGAAAGATCAACAGTGGTTGGATTTATGTAGTTACTAAATATTTCTGTTTTTAGGTATCGGATGATAACAGAAGGCGGAGTCAGTATAAATCACAGACAAGTAACAAATCCAGAGAGTGTTTTGGTTGTTGGACAACATATTCTTAAGAATGGACTTTCATTACTTAAAATAGGAAAAAGGAATTTCTACATTATAAAATGGCTTCAACTATGATGGAAAATCCTTCTGATGATTCAAACTTACCGTCATTCATTCTCAAGACATACGAAAGGTTGGCTCCAGAACTTAACATTCCTTCACTTACGCCAATCAGCAGAGAATGGAGTATATACTCTAGGCCTCACAGTGTGAGTAATTTCATTATTTATATAGGTTGGTTAATAAGTTGTTTGTCTAAATGATGGGATTTTATTTCTTGATCCTTAAACATTAAGGACTACCATAGAAAACCATGGTTTCCAGAGTTAGTATGTTTTAAAAATTATACTTTATGAAAAAACTAAATGCTGTCTTTCCAGTCCTATCTTGCTCTCCTTTTTGGACATGAGGAACAATGAAAAAGAGGTAACCTAAGGAATTGCAGATACTTTTATATCAAGTATATATATCTCACTGATCTCGCTAATGTCTGTATTAAAACCAGCAGTGCCTCTAGCATCCACATTAGAAATCTAGTACTGGAAACTGATTTTTGTTGTTGTTTAGGAACCAAATACAGTTCTTAGAAAAGATTAAAATTCAGTACTTGACTTTTCAGAAAGTTTCTAATTATTTTCCATTTCCTTACCTGTGTTTCAGTGGAACTAAATTTACTCACCACCTTATTTTGTCAAACTACTGAGGTAGCAATATTTTATAAATTTAAAAACTTTTAAATTAGTTTTAAGTTTCAACTTCTGTCCCCCACCAGATTACAACTTGAGATAAACTGAAAACTTAAGTAACCAAAGAAGTAAAAGAGGCAAATATTATGTTATACCAACTATCCAATTATATGAGAATATCAAAAGATACTCGGGTAAGGGAAGTTTTCAGGTCAAATTTAAAGGATTTCCTATCAAGACTTAGTTAAGCTCTACATAGTTTAGGCAAATTAAATCTCCAGAACTTAAATTTCCACATATGACAAATCCATTTCCCTGAGGATCAAGTGAAAGGCACAAACATACAGAATGGTTCATAACCAAATTTACTCTAGAAAACCTTACAGGCAGCAAAGGGTGGCTTTAATGTTCAAGTTCTAGCCATTTGCTACCTGGATTACTTAGAGAAAGTCACTGTCTTTATATGCAAAAATGGAGATGTAGTAAGAAAGTCAAAACTTTGATACAATATACACTGTATTAGATTTGTAAGTTAAAAAGCTAGAGTTTATCTAAACCTTTTTCTGGGAGTAAAGTGAGGAAGAATTCATTTATTGATAAACTTTAATGTCATTTCATACCAGCAATTTTATTTACACAGCAAGAACATACAGGTATCCATTATAAATGTCATAGATCATCTCCACATTTCAGAACTTAACCCAGTTTAGAGCCAACAAAGGTTTCTCTTGCCTATTTTTCTTTGTACTAGTACAAGGTATGTAGTACTAGAAAGTGCATTACCATAGCATGTCTTTAAAGGGAACATTTTTTAATTGGAAATCTGTTTGATATACTGGAGAAAGATGTGTTAGAAGGGTTTCCCCCCCTTATAAATTCAAAAGGCTAAAACAGTAGTTATCTAATCTGTCTAAAGTAAGTAAACATGGAGGGGTATAATTCAAAGCTAATGTTTAAAGATGGCAGAGTGATTTTAAAGTGCACTAACAAACATTTTGATACGATGTATTCTATCAAGATCTGAATCTGGGTTTTTTTATGTTTGAGATAAGTTGGTGAGCCTGTTTCTTAGTAAATGGGTACCTAAAGTTAACAGATGTATTTATATTGTCAATAGTCCTTCATAAATATTGTAACTTAAAAAGAAATTTTAATATCTGCTAGATGCCTTAAGAATTTTGACCATTATCTTAACATTTATAATGTAATTCATATCAAAAATCACCTGAGGAATTTTAATAAAATATATGTTCTAAACCTCACTCCTGAATGCAAATTAGTTGTCTATAAGCCATTAGGAGTGTGTCAGCATGGTTGTTGTTTTTTTAAATAAGGCTCCACCAGTATTGTCACACCTCTATGCTAATTTTGTTGGTGTGAAGCAAAAGTAACAATTATCATCTAATATTACTGATCTAGCACAGAATTTGGTTTTAAGTCCCCCCTCCAAGTAAGAGCATGGTGTTAAGTGCCGCAATTTTAAGATATATCTGAATTTTTTTAGAGCCTCTAAGTCTTACTATAAAATCAAGTGTAGGTGTTTGTTTTTAATACAGGAAAATGTAGTACGTGCTTCTAGGTTTGGGTAAGAATCAGATATTTTAATGCACTAGGGCCATGTGGACCAAGAAATGGAAGGGCTCTTAAGCTACCCATTATGCACACTGCATCATTGTCATTGTTAGAGATCCTCTGTACATCCACCTTTCTGACTAACACATCAAAGGTTGCAGAGATAGAACTAATAAGGACAGGTGGAATACAGTGACTATGAGTAACTTGTCAACCCGCATCTTTCAAAGCCAGACCAGCTTATATAATGCATGCAGTACAGTCGTATGAAATGTCTTGGTGCGTTCTTCTTGAAGGACTGTGGTAGCAGCGTTAAGACTACTAACAGATTACACGGGTAAGCTGCTTGTACAATGAGAACATTAGCATTTCTTTTTAAGTTCAAATGAAACTATCACAAGAAAGAGCTGATGTATTTTATATATACTGGGAAACTTTAGAAACAGCCATTTATTTGGATTGTGTGATTTCATTCTGTAATACAGAGTACAGTTTTCAGTGTATAGCCAGTCTTCACATGAGCAGTTCATACCATTGCAATACATAGGAGTTCATAAATAAAAATCTACTCAAGTAGGCAGTAACTTTCGAGTCAACAAAGTCTCAGTCTTACGTAGTTCTCTTCACCAAAGATGAGTCTCTCTGATTTCAGCAATAATTTGACCTGCTCCTTGTAATGCCTGCATTAAAGAAGATAAAAATTATAATTCTATTATGTGGTTGATTTATACTAACCAGTATCTATCTGAGACTCTAATAATTACCAACATCATATGAAGACCATAGTTGCACTCAAGAATCAGAATGCATTTTTAACAGATGTTTAAATAAAGTAACAGGAATACCTTTAGCATATCAGCTGCTTCTTTCCTACGTTGTGCCATGTCTTCAGATTCAGTCAGAAGATCATCCAATAAGGATGATTTATACAGCTGTCCTACTAACTCACTCTGAAGAGTATCTTTCACATGATTAACCAAAAAATGCATTACTGCCTTTGGCACACTGCAAAACAAAACAAGATGATCCATTTGATTTAGAATAAAAACCTAAAATTTTAAAAATGCATGAATTTTCAAAACAGATCACAGAATCATCCAGCAGTCTGATTTACATCATGTACTACTAACCTGTCTTGAATGTTCTTTCTGACAATAAGAAAGTAAGATTTGATGAGTCGTTCAATAACTTCACAATCTCGCTGCTCACGGGCAGATAGTTTGCGTGCAACAGGAACCGGCTAAATGGGATGAAAAAAAATACCACTTTTGTGTCATTTTGAAATGGCAATATTTGGCATTCAAAATTCATTGAGTTTTTGAGACTTTTAGTTCCTTTTGTCTTTAATAGTGTTTTCCTAGTAATTATCTTATTAGTCCTCAACCAAATTCTCATGGCTTACCACATCCAACAGATTCACAGCATGGCCTTTCTGTGGACTAGCTGGCATAATTGGAATTGGTTTTGATTTTTCTTCAGCTAATAACTCTTCAGCTTTTGAAGTTTTCAGCATTCCTCTCCAGTTGCCTGTTGTTGGTTCTTGAACAGCATCTCCAACCCCACCACCTCCAGATAAAACCTAAAAAAAACCCACACACACACCATATGCTCCAAAATCTCTACCAACCATATGAGATCTGATCATAACTAAACAAAGTTCGTTTTCTTTGACAGCAGTCAAGGCGAACACACATCCAATACCTAGCTGGAGGTATAACAGGTCAGAAAGATGGGGTGGCATGTATGGCCTTCTTTAGCATTTGCTAGCTTTTCAAAGTTTTTCCTTTTTTCCAAACCCTCTTAAACTAGGTTATAGAAAAAAATATAAGATGCCCTGAAAAACAAGACTGCTTATTAAAAGCAGGAAACACAGAACTACCACTCGGCTTAATTTCCGCAAAGTAACCTTAAACACTGTTGAACTATGATCTCTCCAAAAGTTCTAAGAACTCAAGTTACTTTACATTTAGTCAAATAAAAATGTCTCGTAAAAATAGAGACATTTTTAATGAAACAAGAATATACCCATGATTCTTAGTGACTTTAAGCTGCCTAAAATGTGACATAAATACACACAGGTTCCCTCAATATCTATATCCTTGAGAAAGGATCTGCTGAAAGAAATCTAGTGCTACCATTAATCACAACTACTTTTAACCTTGATTTCTCAAAGAAAAATGACTAAGAAAATGAGAAAAATAGTAGTTCATCAACATTTAAGAGATGAGATGCTCTTTAAGATCTTAGACTCCAAAACGACAACCAAAATTTATAGGTATTAATTAAAATGGCTTATATAAACTTAATAGAAAAGTGAGTGTTATGACAACTGTTTAAAAAGTCAGTTTGGGTATTATTCTGACCCAAAATTATCTGTTAGTTAAGATCAGCTTTATCTAAATATAGGCAGTATATTTACACATTAATTTTAAAATGTTAACTGTACATGAATGGTATAACAAATAAAATCTTAAGTAAGCAAATTCAGGGTGACGCCATGAGTGAAATAATAAGCAATGATTTAGATGTTAGATGGTTCTCTTAAGGTCTGAGCACAGGGCTGAGAGAAAACAAGACATTTATCAGGTTTTATTTGAAGTTGAGAATCTTAATCTGGACAATAAAGAAAGGAGCCAAGTGGCAGAATAACCAGATGAATGGTTCTGAAATTTACAGATTAATAATTTCCCCCTAAAAAGATTATCAGGAATCAACAAGTCTCAAACTGTCAAAGACCCCAATTGTATTAATGTGCTTAAGCTGTTGAGACTTATGTTAAGCTACATATATAGGGTGGGTGACAAGTGCAAACTGAATGGAAGCATAAGAAAGAAGCATGAGAGGATTACCCATTAGTACTAGACAGATCTCAGATATCCAAAAGTACAGTTTTCATCTCTGGAATCTTAATTCCCAACCAGAATATTAAATTCAAAACTATTCTCGACAGTAACAGAAAACAGTGGGAAATACTATTATTGTTATTACTTAAAACAACATTAAAACTAGAATTAAAGGGGTTAGTTAGATAAAAGCAACATTAAAGACATAACACAGACAACGAGTTAGATGCCACTGTACAGACAGGTTCTTCAATGGTTTTGAAACAGTGTTTCAGTGAGAACCAACATTGCCATTCTGAAACAAGACTCACATTTTTAGTTTCTCTTCTGCTGTCCTGAATTAACTGTTAAAAGATATGTTAAAACATGCAGTTTAACAAGCAAAATTTCATTATCAGTGGCTTGAAAGTCAAAAAGTGCAGAATAATTTCCTCTTTAACTTCTTTTTCTGTATGCATTTTCTATATTGCAAGCAAAAGCATTTTATAAATATACATTGTTATTTATAGCCCATATTAATATTGTTTTTCAGTGTACTGTTTTCAGATGATTATGTAGAACCAAACAACTAGGCATGCAGGCTTAGACCAAGAATCAGAACAGACCTTGCCATCAGCCTCAGCAGAAGCAGCAGGGGAGGGCTCCTGGGAGGCAGGTGCCAAAGCACTTGGAACTTTAGAAGACTAAAGGCAAAAAATGCAGGGAAAAAAATCAAGGATGCCAAAATGCATTCAGAAACATTCTATAAATGTGAATTTTCCCGTCTGTATCAAAATAATAAAGTAACATGAAAAACAAAAGTAATCGTGGGTCATAAAATTAATGTTCATTCTGCCTTATTTCTTGTACTAATGTCACCTTTGTTAAAGGGTTTTTTCAGATGCATACCTAAGGAAATTCCAAATCCAAAAATTTCATTTTTAGTTTTGGAATTTGGTAAAATCTTTTCTGGTAAAGAATTCAAGGTATTGGATTTTTATACATGCAACTATTGCATGTATTAACCTGTTATGTGCATATTGTCTCCCTCTCCAAAAAGCCTTCCTGTTATAATAAAGTCATTAGTCATTTCAACTAATTTTACAAAGTTGATAAAGTCAATGTGAATTTTTAAGAAAAATAAGGCTAGACACTTAAAATCCACCTTTATGCATTAAAAATATTTTTAAATTTTATTTTTCAATTACAGTTTACATTCGGTATTATCTTGTAATAGTTTCAGGTGTTCAGCATGGAAGTTAGATAATCATACTTTACAAAGAGTCCCCCCTGATATTTCCAGTACCCACCTGGCACCATACATAGTTTTACAATATTATTGACTATATACCTATGCTGTACTTTACATTCCCATGACTATTTTGTGACTACCAATCTGTACCTCTCAGTCCCTTCACCTTTTCACCCAGCTCCGCAACCCTCATCCCCTCAGGCAACCATCAACCTGTTCTCTGTAAAAATACCATTATCTTTAAATTGTTCAAAGCCTTTTTAAAACTTGCATACCTGTACTCAAAGAATGAAATAGCTCCAACGGAATATTAAAGGGAGAAAAAGAAAAAATTACTCCTAGGAGTAATATTCTGAGGCTTACCAATCCATCTTTGCCTAATAGGACTAAGCTTTAAAAATTGTTTTTTACCTTATCTCGTGATACAGCTGAAGGCAATTCTCTTGCTAGCCTGTTTCTCCTTTGTTCCTATAAAACAACCAAGCAAAAAAAAAAAAAGTGATTATCAGAGCATTGAGATATAAGCCTACTCAAAAATGTTCAGCTTAATTGAAAAGTATGGAATAACTTACAGTATATCCTCTCACTGTTGGAACTCATGCCATAATTATATTTTAAAACAAACAAATCATTTAACCCAATGCTTCTCAATCTTTTTTTTTCTGCCCCAACACACCTGAGGGATACAATACAACTGTCAGTAACAGTGGCTCCCCTGTACCAGGGATTCTAAAAT